TGCCACTGGCCAGTCCTGTATCTGAGCTGCAGGTAGTTTTCGGGGGTCCCTTGGAAGGCTCTGATAGCTGCCCTGAGCCACTGTTCTCTCCAGGCTGCAGCAGAGGGAATCTGCCAGCCCAGTTCAGGGAAGATGCTACCTTCGCTCATGGCTCAGAAACTCAGGCCAGAACCAAGCCCCACCAGGTCCTGAGTGGAGAACCCTGAGTCGACCAGAAATTGCTCCCTCCACTGGTTTCCTGACCTCCTTTAGCCATCCTACTCATTGCCAAACCCTCTATTTCTAGATCTGTTCAGAGGAGCAACTTTCACAGAATGAAAAGCAGAAAGAGGATGAGAGGTGGTGGCCTGCAGTCTCCCTTAGCCTTCCCTAGCTCTCTGTCCCCACAGTCTCTTCTTCACACAGTAGCCACGGAGACTTTTAACATGCAAATCAGGCCATGCTTCTCCGGCCTGTGCCCTCCAACATGCCCTGGGCTTGTGGTTCAGAACAAAAGCCTCTCCTCCCCACTCTGTGACTGACACTGGCAGCCTCCTTCTTCCGAACACTAGGCAAGCTCCAGCCCCAGGGTCAATGCATTGGCTGGGCCCTCCTCCTTCTGGGACACTCTTCCTCCGAGGGTGTCCATGCTCTGCTCGCTTGGACAAGGATGACTTTACTCTGTCTTTTACCAGAAAAGGACCTGAACTTCTGGAATATTGGTAATGTAAAAAAGAGTTTCTGGCTTGGTGCAGTGGCATGCAGCTGTAATGCCAGGTACTTAGGAGGTTGAGGCAGAAGGATCGCTCAAGGCCAGGAGTTCAAGGCTGTAGTGTGCTATAATTCTGCCTGTGAATAGCCTGTGAGCTCCAGTATGGACAACATCTCTTCAAAAAAATAGACTTGAACTTGAGAAGTTGGGTCTGTTTGACCTGATGAAAACTCCTCAGAATACTTAGGGGTAATTAAATAAAGGGTTAGTGAACTGATCTTCTGCCCCATAAGTGACCCACTGAGGTGAGGAAGAGAATATGGAAATTATAGGAACAAAGTCACATATCAGAAAGGTGCCCATTCATACATTCATTCAGTAAACAGGCACTGAGCACCAACTGGTCAGTGAGTTAGGAGGCAGGGAGGGGACATTACACTGAACCAGAGGGGAATTCTTTGCTAATGAGCTTATGGTCTGATTGAGGAGGCAAATATTAAATAAGTGGCCATACTAATAATCATGAAATTATAACTGATTTTATGTAGTGAAGTTGAGGTAGGCAGTTCTAGATTTGTCTGTTTGGGAGGTCAGGGAAGGCTTTTGGAGGAAAGGGACTTTGGAGTTGGAGAGGTGTTAGAGGAGTAGGAGATTTCTGGCTTATGTTCCATGATGGATAGTGGTAAAATTCAGTGAAACAGAAAACACCAGAAGACAGGAAGGCTATGTGTGGGAGGGTGGGGCAAGTAGAGTTCTGTTTGGGACTTTAGTTTGAGGCACATTTGAGACCCATATGTGTATAAGAGCCAATCACCAAATCTGTAATTGAGTATCATCAGATATATCAAAGAGGACACACAGACACGACGCGCAAACAAGAGCAGCGGTCTGGCTCCAGGTACAGCTCACTTGTACCTGTCACGGCAGGTGACTTGTGCAGGTCACTTGCCGTGCTGTGTGTGGTGACAGAAGCCTTGGGTGCACACGGGTTCCTCTGAGGAGAGACACAGACAGAGTGTCAGAGGGGACTGGGGAGCCTCAAGAAGCTCTCACGTCCCAAGTTTAAGTAAAGAAGGATAAACTTGCCAAGAAAGCAGAGGTCTCCAGATCATCAGGAGGGAAGGCAGGAGACTGTGGCTTGAGTGAGGCTGAGAGGGAATTCTTTGTACTATTGTTACATTTTTGTCAGTCTGAAATTATTTCAAAACAAACAGTAAAAAGCTTACCTTATTGGGGCACTTTTTTTAATGGAGGAGGGGCACACCTCTCCATTTTAGGTAAGCGTCCCCATTGATAGGAAATTTCTAACAGGGGTCATTTCCTCCCTTATCCTCTTCAAAAGGCTGTTTCAGTCCTTGAAGCTTATACACTTTTCTTCATACACCTACACGTTATCTCTGCGCCCAAACCATGACCATCCTAGGATGTAAATTGTTAGAAACGAGGAGATTATTTAACTTTTTAAACCTTTATGTTTAAAGAAATGCTATTGGATTAAATGTATCCTACATTTTAATGGATCTCCACTTATTTATTAAACAAACCAACACATACAGTTATTATAATTGAGGATACTGGACACTCCACCACCAATTTATACCATAAGGTAAGTATGACAGTAGCAGACAACACCCAAGTCTCAGTGGCTTAAAAGATAAAGGTTTACTTCTTGCTCCGATGTATATCTAGGGTGGGCTGTCAGATGGCTCAGCTCACACTTGTCTTGCTACGATTCCATCTTGACACTTAGTATCATGAATACTGTGGCAGGGAAGGCAGGGCTGTGAGTCAAATGTGGTAACTGAATCCTTTGGCCTGGGAGCCACACAGGTCTTTTCTGCTCCCTCTTAATTAGCTACAGGTAGGCCTTGTTATGCCTGACTTCAAGGAGTGTGGAAGTATTTTTCCTGTGTATGTGAAATAGTAGAAATCCAAAACAACAGTAACTTGTACCAGGCAATTTAAAGGTCTACCACAAGCAACGAAAGTCAATAAAATCATAACAGTGTGGCAGAAACAACTAATTGCTGTCAGTGTCCATTCTTCTCTATTTTCTTCCTAACAGAGTCTTGGTACATCAACACTTGATGAAAAGTATCCAACTTTACAGATACCTTCATAGCTATGGGTAGATATATGACCCAATTCTGGCTGGCTGGGTAGAAACAGAAGGAGTTAGGTAAGGCTTAAAGTAAAAATATATTTCTGATGGTCTGATAAGGCTGGCTTATGCCTTTGGCCCTTTGTCCTTCCCCTGCCATCCATCTTCTTTCTTCCATCTTAGAATGGGGACACAGTTTATGTGAGCGCATCAGCCATCATGTAACCATCACACAGATGTGGTTAAACTTACTTTGTTTGCTTTACTTAAAAAAGGAATGAATTATAGTAATCTTTTCATTATGCTTGCCTCGCAGGGAGACCTCACAGAAGCTGTTCTAGGTATAGGAGCTCCACAGCAATCCTGCAACCTTTCTGATGTAGGGTCTTAGGGGACTCTAGCCAGTGTCTTCATTTAGGCAACTTTATCTGGATCATCACACTTGTCCTCTGCAATTCAGGACTTAGCTCCAAACCTCTTTGGTAACCTGTTCCAACTTTTGGAAAAAGTACTCAATTAATATTTTGCCATATCCCCGTTAAGCCACTGACACAGGCCTGAAAACTGCTTTTTAAATGGTCAGATGAGGCTAGTGTGTACTTTTGGATCAAAAGTGAAGAGAAACCTAGAAAGGTTATAGTTGCAGGTACTTTGGCTGCTCTTTAGATGTCTGAGATCTGGGAGTAGGTGGGTGATAGGGATGTTGGTTGGAAAACATTTCCTCCGGGGATATGGACATTTCAGGATTTCTATACCCCATGTCTCTACTACACTGCATTATTCTTTGAATGTTTTCTGAATACTTTATTTCTTTGCCAATATTTTCTTCAAATCCACAGTCTCAGTGCTGGGTGGCCCAGCTCAGATCTTTTCCAGATCTCACCAGTTATCTGCTATAGGTGTTCATAACTTTGTCTATATTCTTGTCTGCCTTGTATCTTAGGCCTGCTTTCTCACTTGTCTGCCAGCTCTTAGAAGGAAGGCATTTTTCTTATTCTTCCCGGAGGCCCCCAGGTGATTTGGCAGAGTATGAACCAAAGAGCTTCATGTATACTTGAACAGAATTAAGGGACAGCTGTAATTTTTCCCGACCATGTGGCTGATGCTTTTTCTGTTCCCTCCATAAGTGGGGATTGGTTTGAAATCTGTAAAGGGGTCTGTGGCCCTTATAAAATTAAAAGTGAAGAGAATTTTGGCTAACAGAAGAAATGGAAAGGGACCAATTTCTAGTTTTCTGTGCTAGAGGTTAGGGCACTGCTGCTTCTCTGTGAATTGCTCTGACTAGCTAAAATAAAACTTCCCTTAGTTTGGGGCAGATAAGAGTAATTTGGGGTAGATAAGAGTTTCTGGGAAGTTGACATTGCTGAACGGCTTGGCAGCAATGCTGCTACAAAATTATCCAGGATTTTTTTGTTTCTTTCTCACTTATTTAAAAAAAACCAAGAATCACCTGATTTAAAAATAACAGCTCAATGCTTGAGCCCAAGAGTTTGAGGTTGCTTTGAGCTATGACGCCTTGGCATTCCATGCAGGGTGACAGAGTGAAACTCTATTTCAAATAAACAGACAAACAAAAAAAAAATGTAGATCAAAATCTTATGGCAATACTGAAACTCTGAGAGTCAGCCCACATGTCACTTGAGGAACGATAGTCCAGCATTCGGTAGATGTAAGGATTCACCATCTCTGTGTTCTTTTGTCATTAGTTGATTACGTGATGGGAGTATTAGGAAGAACAAAGTTGTATGCTGTGGTAAGCCCTCACAAAGGACTCAAAGAGCAATTTTTTCATGCCAGGTTAGCGACCGTTAGTGTCCTCTCATGAGAGAATTTACTTTAAAAAAAAAAAGGAAACTTGATGAGGCTCATTTCTGGCAAACTTAAAGAGGCTGCTGTGAATTCCTGAAAGGCACAATCTTAACTGTTTGTCTCCATAAGCCTGTCTCCCCCCCCCGCCCCCCCCAACTCCTGCTCTCTCCTCACTCCAGCCCTCGGCAAGGAGTGTAAGAAACTTACCAGAAAACAAGAAGCGCCAACCCTCTTCTTAGTGCCTGTTAGAAAATTAAGGGGGCCATGCCCGCTTCTTCTGTTTGGGCGCCAAGCCCTCACTTCCGGGAGTAACTCTGACACTTGTCTTCCGTGTGGTGTCCGGGTCTGTCCAGTCCGTAGGAAACCGGTGGCGCGGTGGAAGTGGGGTTCCGTGCGAGTCCGGAGCCTCCCTCCGGCCCTGGAGGACTGACTGACTTGCAGAGCCCCTGGGTGGGGTGGGGTGAGGGATGAGCTCTGCAGAGGTGAAGGAGAGGGCGGTGAAGACCAGGCGGGAGCTCCACACCGGGTTAGGGTAGGGGAGGTGAAGGGAGAAGGTCCCCGTGTCCCCGGGTCGGCAGGCTCCCGAGGGGCCTAGTGCCGCTCAGTGCCCTTCCTTTCCTGCTGGGCCCTCGGATATTTTTACGCGCTTTAAAACAATCCTACAACACTACCATTTTATCTCGCAACCCTTGAACTCTTTCTGTAACAACGTCCCAGCCTTCTTAGAAAACTCCCCAGTAACCGAGGCCAGCAGGGAAGTTTCCCCAGTCCCGGGAGAGCAGCAGGGCTACTCCAGTCTACTGGAGGGCGAGGGGTCGGGGTGGGTTGGGGGCAGGTGGGGGAAGGCCAAGCACAACCTGCAGTTACCAGGCAATGCAGCGTGAAGTACAGCTTAGTTTTTGCATGGGGGAACATAGAGAAGGAAACTCAAGAACAAAATATTACTACCTCTGCCGGGGAGGACATTGCCCTTCTGCTTTTAGGGCACACTCGGACCCCCACTGCACCATCATCGTTGCCATCTTCCTGCCCACCCATCTGCTCGCAGGCTGATTTACTTTTCTCACACTATCCACCCTATCATGTCCCTTAACACAAAGCTGTGCTGTGATTCCCTTCTTTACTCTGGAAATACTCCTTTATGGAATAAAAAGAGGGAAAGATGGGCCATGGACAGGATATGGGGTAGAAAGTACCAGAGAATTCAGGTATCTGTGAAGTGAGGCCAGGGGTGGGGGATGGGGGGCTCTCTTCAAAGTGAGGACACTGACTGGGCAGGATCTGCATCCAAACTCTGAGAGCCAGGAGCAGGGGTGATGTTGCTTTCCATTCCATTCTGAAAGGGCAGGGGTGAACACTGGCATAGCAGGGGTTCTCTGGCTTTTTTCAGTTGTATGCAGTTGGTGTCTGAAAGATACTTATGTTTCACCTACTGGTGAGGAAGGAGGGCTGGCCTGGGAATCAGAAGACCCTTGTTCTAGATCCAGCTCAAACTACTTGGGCGACCTTGAATGGGCCACTTAATATTTAGGAGCCCATTTTGCCTACGATGGGAAAGCATCCTATCTCTGAGTTGTGCCTAGTGTGGAAACTGGAGTCCTGCCAGTCCATTACCACTAGTTGCTTATTAGCCATGAACACTCCTCCCTAACTTCTGACATAATGCTTGGTACATTCAGAGGAAGAAATAATGATCTGATGTGAGGGACACTGATAGTGGCAGAGGACAGGGTAGGGCCTGGTAGAATCCTGAAGGGGAGTATGGTCTGTGGGGCCCAGGCCCTGGAGATTGGGCCCTGAAATTCTCCCAGATAGAGGATACAGAGATGCTAAAGGCAGCTCTCATGGCATTGATTTTACATGTGTTTGCACTTGAACCGTGAGTGAGTAGCGAGACTGAACTCGATGGCGTGTACCTGTCTTCAAGGACTTACCCTTCCAGCAGTGGAGCTAAAAGAGGCCCTTATGTCAAATTTGTATTTCCAACAGTGGATGGCCTGTAAGCTGATGAATGGCACTGATTTTCACTTACCTTTGGAAATGGTTTATCTTGAGGAGGGGCTTTCCTCTCCTTTGCAAAAGGATTTAAGAAGCAGAGAGGGACACGGGGTCCACACCAGTCCATGGTCACCTCAAGTCCCCTGGCTGCTGATGTCAGGGTGACAAGAGTGGAGTGCTCCTGAAGCTCTTGCAGCTTAGCCAGAGGCAGGCCCTGGCTCTTAGGCTTGTGAAATGCAGCACCAGAGGCAGGGCTGTTATTCTAGTCTTTTTCTGAGCATTCTCTATGAGGACTTTCCCCCCTCTAATTTAGAGGAAAAAACCCTTCTAAAATAGATCAAACACTGGATGACCTATATAAAGGCTATAAAATGATGGATATTTTTCCCACGCATTAACCTAGGCTACTTCTCATGTATCATGTAGACAGGAACTTTATTTTATATTTCTTTTTATTTTTAATCTCTAATAGTATCTAGTATAATATTCTGCACGACAATTCTGAGAATGGATTTACTTTTACCTTTTTCTTTTTTTTTTTTTTACGAAACAGAGTCTTACTTTATCACCCTTGGTAGAGTGCTGTGGCATCACAGCTCACAGCAATCTCCAAGTCCTGGGCTTAGGTAATTCTCTTGCCTCAGCCTCCCGAGTAGCTGGGACTATAGGCATCTGCCACAATGCCTAGCTATTTTTTTGTTATAGTTTAGTTGGGCCTGGCGCCCTACTCACTGAGCCACAGGCGCCGCCCTTTTACCTTATTTTTTGTGAAAATTATTGGCCCATGAAGATATCTGCTTAGGTTTTAAAAAAGGCACTAAATCTTTTCTTTTTGAATACTATTTGGCTATAAATATCTACATATGTATGCATAAAAATAAGAATTATGAAGTCTAATCTAAAATGAATGTCCAGGAACTTACCACATAACTTGAGAAGTTATCTTTGTATTTTTCCCAGACTCCATTTTTTCCTTCCATGACATCCTGGGTTTTGTGTGGATTATGTCCATAATTGTTCATATAGTCTATATTTCCAGTTGTTTCATTTGGATTATACAGATACTGGCTTTGTTTAGAGATGTGTAGTACAGTGGTTACAAATAAAGGTTTTGGAATAAAATAGATTGGGTTGAAATCTCAGATGAAGTATTTACGAGTTATGCGATTTTGAATGCATTACTTCTTCTCTCGGAACATTGGTTTCTTCATCTCCAAATAGTAGCAATCCTGCCCTCCTCATCTCCCTAGGGTGGCTCTCAAGATTTAGTGGACTAAGACTGTATATTTCTTCCTGTCCATGATTGACCCTCAACCACAGTTATCTCTCCTCCCTTCTCTGCTCCAGATGTCAGTGGGAATGCCTGTCAAGCGCACTTACCCTTCACAACTGGCATCTACTCCGGCCATCAGGCCTTAACACAGCAGCCAATGCTGGAATGAGCAAGACTTCCCGACTTCATTTATAGCCCTTAATGTGTCCACATGGGAAAGACAAATGAGTCGGGCAGTGGACAGTGGGTGCCATTACCAGGTCATTAATTAGCTAGTTGCTTGGCCTTGGCAGGAAATCATTCATCATTTTCAGATGAGTAGAGAACTGCTGAACCTTCTAACTGTTCTCCATCATTCTGCGCCAGCACAGCAGATGCAATTGTTCTCGTCAAAGCTTTCCTCCCACGGTGCCTTATCGAGATAAGTGCCCTTGGACGCCAATTGCCATGTTATCTGCTGAATTCAAGAGCCCTGAACTCGGAAGGGGGCAGGGGCCAAAGGTTTCCAGGGCTGGAGAGCCAGGCAGGAAACCCTAAAAGATAAATGAAGACTTCTGGAACAAGATGAGAAGATGAATAAACTGTTTGCTTTGAGGATGCACATCATGTTCCAGAAAAATCCACTTCAGCTGCCAAAGTAACCCTTTTGGAATTTACAAAGAACCTCCCGCGTACAGGCTTGGTGCTCAGGTCTTGCATGCAGTGTTTCATAGCCATTCAAGCCATCCAGGGATGGTGAAACACTGAGTTCATTGCACAGAGGAGGAACTTGAGGCCCAGAAAGAAAAAGTTATTGACCAAATTAAAATATGTAGTTCAGAGACTGATTTTGATTCCAAACCAACATCAGTCTGATCCTAAAGCTCAGGCCTGCCTTAATACCCAATCTGTGTCCCTCAGCAGGGTGACAGGTCGCTGTGGACAGGACAGCCACTGGCTGATAGTCTCTTGGTACTGAATAGGTGATGTGTCTTTTTGCTGGTCTCTAATCATTAGAAACTCATTCTATCTGGTTACAGAGATTTCAGGTGGGCTAAAGTTTATGGACAATGAACAACAATAGGTTAGAAGCGAGAGGGACGTTCATGTTATCCCACATGCTGAGAAGTCAGATCTCAGCCAGCTCATCATGGCAGAAATCTTTCGGGAAAATGGTATGGCTAAGACTTGTAAAAGGGGACAAAAAGGTGTCTACATTGAATCTCCAATCTAAGTCATAAGGACAGGACATTAAGATGTCAGGAAAATGAGCAGAAGACAATCCCACAACCAAGCAGATGATTGGGTTTCTGTCCTTACAAGGGCAGCACTTGCAAACGGCAGCTTGCAGTGGGGGTGATGAGGCAGGCTTAGTGATTTAGGCTACAGTTGAGTTATTTCCCCACAAGAGATGTAGGGTTGGAGGGAGGGGCTGTTGGTTTTGACAATCCATTGTGCTTAGGCTGAGGGGCACATGAACAATATTTAAGAAATATTTTTAAATAGTCTTAAGTTTACAATTAAAATTACTGTCACAAAACTGTGTGATTCATATTTTCTGATAGAATTAAGAATAATTTATTTGTATCAGTAGAGAGTAGATGTAAGCATTCGGCTATAGTTTTTTCCTATTTCATGTAACCCCCACTCTCCTCACTTTAATTCTCCTTTCCCCTTCCTGTATTATTTAAAAGAAAATCCAGATGTTATATTATTTAATTCCTAAATGCTTAACTATATACAAGGTCTGTACTTTCTGTCTGAAAGTATCCAACATAGAATTAATAATGGCTGGATACTTTCTGGGCAGCCCTCATATATCTAAGAGAAAGGGGCTATTTTAATAAACATAACCGTTTTTCCATTTTCATAGTTGGAATATAAAAAATATTTCCTAAATATCACCTAATATCCAGTCCATGCTTAAATTTTCCTGATTCTTTTCAGCTGATTAAAAAAGGAAATAAGTATACAACTTATATTTGGTGTCTATCTGTCTATCTAGCTCAACAATTCTCCCTCCTTATTTTTTCTTCTTGTTTATTTTTTGAAGACACGCTGAGTCATTTGTCCTGCAGAATTTTCCACATTGTAGATTTGCCTACATTCTGTGGTGCTTTTTCTGTGTTAAGTTGATAATTAGATCTAGAGGCTTGATCAGATTTGGCTTTTTTGCAAAAGTGTTTCCCACTTGTGGCTGTATTCTTCCCATTGCATCTCACAGGGAATACTGGGAGGCTGGTGTCTTTCCTTATGGGATGTGGAATTATTCAGGGGTTCAGATGAGTCAACCTCATCCGTTCAGTAAGAAACTTCTCATTAACCTTCCACCTAATAGATCTGGCAGCTTTTCATGGTCATTTCCGATTCATTTTATTAGGGTTGCAAAGTGACCGTATTCTAACATGGTAACTCTTTTATTAGCTGTAATTATTCTGTATAAAAATGTTTGGTCATTAACAGATTGAGTCCCCTGAAAATAGTTTGTGTAAGAAATTCCAGATAGATTCTCTATTCTTTCCACTTAATTTATTGGTTTTTAGAATAATGATTTGATGTTCTGGCAATATCCAATGTTACCAATGCAGTCTTTTCTGCTATCATTATGTACCTATGAGTTTTAATTTCATTCATGTAATTTGACTCATTGGAATAATTGTTCTCTTTGAGAACATTGTCCCCTTCTTGGCACTCAGTTCTTTATACATTTCCCTTAGTCTTGGTTAGCTTCTTTGTTTCCTGGCATATAAAGTATTCTAGAATCATCTTATACAATTTCTGATGAGACCTGGAATTAGAATTTTTTACCTTCCCAAAGGATTCCTAGGAAAAGGGTTCAGAATCTAAAGTTTGGATGCTCGGGGTGACCATTCACCACTTCTAGGATTTTTCTTAGAAATTAAGGAAATAACGTATTTTCATGGAGCTTGAAACATTGTGTGTTCATACTTGTATTTCTAATTCAAATTTATTGTTATAGGTATTTCATGTCTTTGATTTTATGTTAATTGTCTTTAGTCTTAAACACTGAGAGTTCTTGATTATTAATAACACGGTAGCCTGTGTGGATGTGTATGTGCATGTGTGTATAGTTTGAAAATAACAATACTAACATAACTTATTATTACTAAAAAATAAGTCTACTGAGTACTATTTAAAATTTTCGTGTATTTTTTTTTTGGGTCCTTAAGATATATTCCTGAAGAGATAAATGGTTTCATTTCTGAAATGAAATTTCCGAACCGTTTTAAATTTATTTAAAATAATTCTTCTCTATGTTAAACAAGTTGACATAGAGTTAGGTTCAAGTTTTTCTTTCTTGATTTTCAAGGAATTCTTTTTTCATTTTGGTTAAATTTTCTTTTTCTGCTTATTAACTATGTAGTATGTCTACCAGATTACAAAGTCAAAACTCTAAAGCAAGTGCCTTAGGAAAATGTCTAGCTGCTGTTTTTGTCTCGTCTATCATTTTCTCCTTTTTTCAACCATTTAAAAAATTAGGTTTTGTTAAGTAAAATTAAATAGGCACACACATATGTCTATAGCCTCTGTCTGGACAAAGGGTATCACAGTGCACTCGCATTTCAGCACCTTGCCTTTTGTTTTTTAATGTAAACATATAAAGAACTTTCTTTCCGCCCTTTAACAGCAGCGCAGTCCTAGATTGTGTGGCCGTATAACGTTTATTCACCTTGCCCCCCTTGGAGAGCAATGGAGTTATTTCAATCTTTTTCTATTACAAATAGTGTAATAACTTTGTGCATGTGTTATTTTGTATTTTGTATTTTTCTTTGGAACAAGTTGAATGGGCTTAACTTGTTAATAATACTCCAGGGGTTAGGTAAGTAGAATTATTCACTCAGTGTACAGATATT